AATCATAGTCACAGGGTGGATGAGGCTGGAAGTCTCCTCTGGAGTCCAAGCCCCTGCTAACACAGGTCACCCAGAGCAGGTTGGCTCAGGACTGTGTAGAGGTGGGTTTTGAGCATCTGCAAGGATAGAGAGTCCTCAACCTCCCTGGGCAACATTTTCCACTGTTTGATCAACCTTTCAGTAAAAAATAAAAAAAATCTGATGCTTCAACAGACTTTGTTGTATTTCAGTTTGTGTCCCTTGCCTCTTTCTCTGTCACTGGATGCTGCTGAGAAGATAATATCAGTTTACAGTTGTTTTCTCTGCAGTCTGTTATGAAGACAGTGGGAGAAGCTCCCATTCAGAGCAGACCAAAGCCAATGCTGTGCTTGTTTTCTCATTGCCAGCACATGCCGAAGTCTGCTCGCCCGTAGCCCGGATGTTATTGGCAGCATTCAGCACTAAAAGCAAAAAAAGAAACATAATGAGCTGTGCCCTGCAGAGTAGTTATGTTGGATAATTGCACTAATAGACACTGTGGATTTTACGAAGGCTTTTGTGGATGAAAATATAGGGCACATTAGTGAATAAATCAATGGCAATACATTAATAGACTGTGGCTCTGTTCTCCACTCAGTCAGTGAAATACTTGATAATGACATTTTATTCAGTATATCATTTCAAAACAATAGCAGTTTCATCACAATTGTAACGACTTTGATAAACGTTGCATAAACGGAAGGTTTGAAGTTTTGACTATTGATGGAATTTGGGGATTTCAATATTTGTGAAGAAGATTCCATTAGTACAGAATATCCTAACAGCAGCATAAAATTTGGATGTTTGCCATGTGAGACCTTCAGCAGTGCAAAGTAGATGTTCTAAAGCCTTGGAAACTGCAACAATAATTATGTAAGGGATTTAATATCTTTTTACACTTTGTGTATCTGCTATGAAGTAATTTGAGTTCAATTTACCTGTCAGTGTGAGTAAGTAAAACTGGGGTAGATCTGAAAGATGAAGCAATTAAAGTACTAATATTTTCTTTGAATTTAAATAGCACTTATCATCCAAAGATCCCAAAGCAATTTACTATTATTAATAATAAGGCCTGATTCATATCTAATGCTTTTCATCAGTATTCTTCAAAAGTCTTTACTGAGGTGCATGTCATTAATTCCAATATCAAAATGAGGAAACTGATGCACAGAAAGATAAGTGATTAGCCTAAGATCACTTAGTTAGAATCAGGGGCAGAAACAAGGTTAGAAATCACATTTTGTAATTCCCAGTCCCATGCTCTTCTCACTTAACAAAATTGACTCCTATATACAACACCAGGATAATTATTTTATAGAATTTTTAAGAGCTGTGTCATAATTCCTATTGAAATACCTCAGTATTTGTCATCTTTAGGGGACAATGGTGTAATAAAGTAATAAAGTAAGGCAGAAGCAGTTAACAGATCAAAATTGATCCACATTGTTCTGTTGAAGGATGATTATGAGCAGTGATTGTCACTTGATCTGGTTAACATACCTGAAGACCAGAGGTACTGATCCTGGAAGGTCAGTGACATTTGCACATATATTACCTTGAATTTTTTGCGTTCCCATCTTTGAAAGCATCTGGTATGTCAGAATGAATAGTCCCTTCCTTTCCTGATCCAGTAATCCCTGGCATATGACACAGTGCACTAGGTATTCTTATAGAAATGGATAATCAGATGGTCAGATCTTTTATAAAATAAATACATAAAGGGAAAAATGAAAGGTGCTCAAGGATTTAATTATGGATATTCAAGTGAACTGTGAATACCATATCCAGTGTGCTGTCCACAAGCACTGAACAACTCACCTTGATGCTAGAGAGAGAGAAGAAAGGACAGGTCTTGCTTTGTTTTCTCTTATCAGAAAGAAGTAACTTACATACAAATCTTAGTCCCTTAATTTTCAAGCTGGGGACAGCTATTTTGGGTGACACAGGATCATACTCTTTCCTTAATGTTTTGCTGGTAATGAGGTTGTGTAGTAGAATATCTATATTTTCAGGAAGTATTTGAATCAGCTACTTTTTTGCAGTGTATTTTTCTCGCTTTTTTCCTGCTGCTGGACTGCATTGACTGGTACCAACCAATTATAGGAGAAATAGACATTTCTAAGTTCATCGCAGTGCTATTTACTTGCAAGAGGCAGCTCATGCACAGTGAAGCTTTTTGGCAGAATCAAAACACTACATTGGAAATTACAGGGCAGAGAACATAAACCAGAAGAATAAAAATGCTGGAAATTACCTAATGAGTAAAGAAAAGCATCAGTGACCAGCATTTTTATGGGTGCGATTCCCATCAGTGTTAATGGGAATTGTTGATATAAAACCCATCTCTGTCCTCCATT